GAGCACAAAGAAAACTCTTAATAATTATTTACATAAGAATGAATGCATATATACTAGCGAAAGAAAGCACGATCATATTCTTTTTTTTTTTCTTCTTCTTTTTTTCCCCTAGTTGAGATTCAATCGTTGACATTGAATAAAGATTTTCAATCTTTATTATTCTCGTTCTATAATTAATTATTTAACATACAGAAAATGTCAAATAAAAACCTATTTATATCTTTAAATCAATGTTATCAAGTAAGTACACAAGAATATATATATCATTTATTATCATTATCATTATCACTAAACAGGCGTACTATTTATGACAAGATTGTGTCATCTTGTGCGTATGTTGAAAAATCCATTTAGATTTATTTCATCCGTAAAAGGGAAATTAGCATTATCAGAATATTATTTTTTCTCATCTGTCTCCTTTTGTGTCTGTTATTGATCTGTCTCCTTGATAGTTATGCTAACAAATGCATAGTTTTTCTTTCTCCCTAGTCAAGTTAATATTAAAAAAACAAAATAGAAAGAAACAACAACCATATTAAATGAATATTATGACATAATTATTCAATTGGTTTTATTTTTGCCTCTTTTATTCAACCATGCAGAAGAATGCTTTTATTCTTGTCTTAAAACGGAAGGACCAGTGACTTTAATTTCCTGTATACAAAATGTCTTGAGAAGAAATATTAGTTGTTAATCAGTGACATATATATATATAGAAGCGCACAAATAATATTTTCAAGATCAATAGAAAACATAAGTGGATAATATGCATGAGAAATAGAGAGATTTTTATCAAAATTGAATAGTTTATGGTACTATAATAAATATATATATGTAGAGAGAGATATAATAGAAAAGATAGACTTTCTATATATTTGCTCTTTCTTTCTTTCTATATAAATGTATTAATGCAGTCAACACCCATCGACCTCGTTTATCGAATTACTAGTTTTAGTGCGTATTCTAACATGTTCATCATTAATTTTATTCTATTTAAAACAATAATATCGTACTTCTTTATTTCATTACATAGTGAGATGAAAAAAATCTTTTTTTTTCTCTTCTTCAATTTCTTGAGTGCGTATTATAGAAACATAAAAATTAATTGTTGGAAAAAATAATATATTTAAAAATATCTAAACAACAACCTTGTCTGTTTTTTCTTTATATTAAACTGACAAAGAAAAGAACAAAAATAAAAGTTGCTATGAACAAAATGCATGTTTTTCTTTTGTTATTTAATAGATAGATATATATAACTAGAGAGAAAATAAAAACATTATGTTTATTCGAGCGTTATTGTACTGAAAACGATAAAATATATTAGCCGAAACCTCCGACTCGATTTGAATAATTTATCACGTTTTCAGTCATCATTCTCAATGTTCCATACAATGATAGATTCTCTTTCCAAGTACATAGTTCATGCACTTGTTTGATTATACAGAAAGCAAACATTCGGTTCTTTTTTTAGTTAAAGACCAAAAAATGTTAATCCGCTGTACTTCTCTTCGTCAGACGGATATTACACATCCGTTATTCTTAAAGGGTCGATCGAACCTACATGACAATAAATATATTTGCTTTATCTATTTTTGTTTTTGTTTGAGAAAAAAACAATTTACATATATATTTTGTCATTCTCTTCACGTTATAAGATAAATATAGATTATTTTTTCTATTTAGTTCTAGATTACGACAAAAATCAAGTGTACAAATCATATGAATAATGTCGAATAATTCGTCTAGTGCTGATCCTCATAGTGTACAGGATTATATTCTTCTTTTTCGTTTAATTGTTTGGGGTTATGTTGGAATGGTTTTAAGTTTATTTGGTATTGTTGGTAATATTATTACTATACTTGTACTTATATCACGATCAATGCGAACAACATCTACAAATATCTATTTAACAGCTTTATCTTGTTCAAATATACTCTTTCTTCTTATATTCGTCCCATCCTATTCCATGAGATATCTAATCGGTTATCGATTATATATGACAGATGCACCACCATTTGCATTTGAAATACTTCTAACACGTTTACCAACAACACCTATATATAATACAATTCTTCTATCAATTATTTATTTAACTATTGCTGTATCTATGGATCGTTTAATCTTAGTTAAATTTCCATTGAAAGCAAAACAAATCTTAACACCACGTACAACATTAATAGCAATTTTCTTTATTTATCTATTTTCAATTATTTATTGTATTCCATATTGGTTAGAACAAGAATATGTACCTGAATTGAAACAATGTCGTCTAACAGATATTGGTAAAAAAATTTATAAATATACTCGAATATATATTTATATACCTGTTGTTTATTTAATACCATTTATTACATTAACATTTATAAATGTTACAATAATATTTCAATTAATTGCTACAAAACGTCGTAAAAAAAGTTTAGCTGCCAAAACAAATAAAAAAAAACAAGCTGATTATCATATAACATTAATGCTTGTTGCAGTTATTATTGTTTTTGTTTTATGTCAAATACCATTATTAGTACTAAATGCATGGCAAGCTATTGATCCGCTTGGTTCATCAGTAAATTTAGTATTTCATTCATTAAATTCAATTGGTATATTACTTATGGTATTTAATACATCAACAAATTTTTTACTTTATTGTTTTTTTGGAAAAAAATTTCGTGAAACATTAATACAATTTATTTTAAAAATAATTCTCAATCAAAATAAACAAACAAACTTACACCCACGAAATTCAAAAATATCCGAGAGAGATGCACGAAGACCAACATTACCAGTACAAAATAATACATCATCACCAATAAAATCTAATATAAAAATTGAAACAAACAAAATAAATGAACGGGGCTGTTCGGAAATCACGTGATCAGTTTTTTGGTCATTTTCGACCACCCCTCTCCTTGTGATTTTTGAGAGACCTCCCTGTCACGTGATTTCGGCCGGAACCCCCCCTCCCCATAAAGTACCGAAAATTTCCAAAAAACTTCCAGAAGTTTTTCAAAAACAGTAGTGATGGGGGGGGGGGCGGGAGTAGCTTCACGAAGATCCTCGTACTCCCCCTCAGGTATAAGCCATATCTCTGGAAAAGTTCTATAGAAGAATTATATGACTATGATCCAAGGGAAGAAATGCGTACTTTAAAGCGTAAAGTACCGAAGTAGCTTAAAATAGGTAAAAGTGGTAGGAAGTAGCGCGAAATCGCTCGAAGCACAAAAATAGTTCAAAGTACCTCAAAATACAAAAGTGGTTCAAAGTAAAAAAGTAGATCGAAGTAGTTCAAAGCATGTAGAATTAATTTCGAATACAAAGTAGTGCAAGGTACGAAAATAGCTCAAAATATGTAATAGCAGCACATAGCGCTTCAAACTAACTCGAAGTAGTCAAAAGTAGCTCAAAGTGGCGTAAAGTAATGCAAAGTAGCTCAAATTCACTTGAAGTGCAAAAGTACGCATTTTCCCCCTTGGTATGATCACGTGATGGGTAGGCTTGATCCCTCCCTCCTACCCCCTACCTGATCACGTGATTTTCGAACAGCCCTAACGTAATCAACATATATCCGTACAAAATTCACCTGTAAATCAAGAAGAATTAAATCCTTTAATGACAAAGAATGAAGATCTTTCGATGAAACAAGATCAAAAATTAAATGTATATACATGTGCCAATGGTAAACAATTAGTAACATTGAAAATTTAATTGAGAAAGAAGAAAACTATGGTGCTAAATTTGATTTCTTTTTATTTTTAATTTTCTTTCATGTTAAAAATATATATCGTTAAATTTAAAAAAAAATCGAAGAGAGTAAAAATAAGGAAATAAAAAGTATAAGTTTCGTTTGTTTTTTGTTGGAATGAAATTATTGTTCGTAAATTATCAAAACTTTGATAAAAGCAAAGCAATACCATTAAGTTACACAAAAATATATAAATTATATCTTGATTATTATTTTCTATTACCGACAAATTTACTAGACATATATTTCATCATCGTCATCAACATCACGTGTTATATTAACACGTGGATTTGCTCCTCGTTCGAGATTATATTCATTAATTAAATCACGTAATATACCTAAACGATCATCTGTTTCGTTAAAATAACTTGGTGGTAAATTTCTTCGATTATATGCTTGATTACGTGATGGAAATGTATTATATTGTGGTATACTAAAGAAATTTTGAGAAAAACAAACATAAGTTTTAAATTCATTCTGAATTTAACATACCGTTCTTGATAAACATAATCATTTGGATGAGATCGAGGCAAACTAAAAATAAAATCATGAATCAATTAATATTCTACTGAATTAAATAATAGAAATTCTTTTCCTATTCTATTCAATTGCCTAGAAAATAATTATATATTATTTAACTGCTTAGATAAAAAGTAAATCTGTCAATTGTAAAATATTCCATTATTATATTGGAACTAAAATGGAAATTTGTTTCTTTTTTTCAGTCGTCTGTGTAATGTTTCTTTGTCATGAAAATAATGTATTGTTAAGAGAGGTGACAAAAAATTAATTTGGCGGTAGAATATATTTATGAATTTCATTTTTTTAAATATTTTACTTTCGATGCTTAAATGTGCTATTAGTTGATAACTGATTAGGATTATTCATGTCAACATACTCAGTATTCAATATTCTTGTAGGTGCGGTTCCAAGAACTTGTGATCCTTGTTGAGAACTATTGAAAAACAAAGAAAGATTCTATGAAAGTAAAAAACCAAAACTATAATTTATACTTTTTTGAAATCATACGTCGTCGACGATATAAACATCCGAGCAGCCCACAACATAATAACAATAAGAAAAATAAAAGTAGAGAAAGAGCTAGCATTTGCTCCCATGTTATAGTTGCTGTTCTACTACATCTGTCATCATATTTATAATTAGTGCGAAAAAAATGTGTTCTTCGATCACATCTAAAATAAAACGAGTCAATAAAGTGCAAAGTTTTTTCTAAACCATAACTGATACGTACTGGCAAGCATAACTTATGTCATCGTTTCTTATAATACATTTCGATTCATCGAATGTAGCGCATAGATGTCCATTACCATCACCACAATATTTACAATCGTTTTGATACTGTAGTATACTTCCACCTGAACAGGAGGCATCTATAAAACACATAAGACATAAGAATAACAAAGTTAAGAATATTTTATCTCAATTACTCTGCTTCAAAATAACAGTTGGACTAGTAAAAACACACTTTGTGCTGCAATTTAAATAATGTAATATATCACCCTGGTCAACATTTCCATAACCATCATACGACATAGTATACCGTATTCTACATGGAGACTCCAAACAAGTTTCAGGTATACAACCAACGTAACTTAGTTTTGGTTTCAGACAATCATTAAGATACTTCCTCAAATCGGATTCACACGTAGCACTACAAACATTGGTGCAATCCGGATTAGGAAACGAAGCCATGTTGAACATATGAGTGATTTCGAAACTCGACTGAGCTACCGAGAACCCAACTGCAACGGGCGGTATTGGTGTCGTTGTTGTTGTTGTCAATGTTACAGGTGTTGACGAGGTAGTTGTTGTAGTTGAAGCAGTGCTAGTGCTGCCTGTCGTTGTGTCTGAGGTTTGAACCGATGTAGAACTTGTAGTTGTGCTGGTTGTTGTCGTTGAATCAGTGCTCGTGATAATTGTTGTAGCTGATATAGTTCCCGTCGATCCTGTACTTCGTGAAGGAGTTCCAGTCGAAGGCGGTTCTGAATCCGTGATTACTGACCCAGTATACGCTGTTGTCGTAGTGGTTGACGGGCTTTCAGTTGAAGATGCTTCTGAATTTGTGATTACTGACCCAGTATACGGTGTTGTCGTAGTGGTTGACGGGTTTTCAG